TTGCCTTTCTTAGGGATTGGAATGAAAACTGACCTTTTCCAGTCCTGTGGCCACTGCTGAGTTTTCCAAATTTGCTGGCATATTGAGTGCAGCACTTTCACAGCATCATTTTTTAGGATTTGAATTAGCTCAACTGGTATTCCATCACTTCCACTAGCTTTGTTCACAGTGATGCTTCCTAAGGCCCACTTGACTTCGCATGCCAGGATGTCTAGCTCTAGGTTGGTGATAACACCATCATGATTATCTGGGTTGTGAAGATATTTTTTGCATAGTTCTTCTGTGTATTCTTGCCACCTCTTCTTAATATCTTCTGCTTCTGTTAGGTCCACACCATTTCTGTCCTTTATTGTGCCCATCTTTGTATGAAAGGTCAGTTGTCATTTACTTATTCTTTGGGGGAGTTCCATAGAAACCATAAGGATGGAGAAGGCCCAGTCTAAACGAAAGGATTAATTGTACAAACTACCACCCATTGATACTTACTAGAGTCAAAGTAAACCAGGGCCTTTAGGTACCAGCTCTGGCATTAGAAAGGTTAGGCATCTTCAGGAGTCTGGCATCCTACATCTTCCCTTCGTGGCACTCGTCACATGACAGTTAATTACTATGGGGTGAGTACCTGCTTAGGTTCTCATCTTTCCCATTAGTTTGTAAACTCTACTGGGCTAACACCAAAGCTTTCTTGTCACTGTATCTCCAGAGCCTTGTAACAGTCAGCAATCAACAATACCTTTTGAATGAACGAATGAATCATAAAATTCCAAATATAAGATTAACAGTTTTTCAGGTTGAGAGACAGCCAAACACAACTCTTTAACATCCTTATCATATAAATTATTGACCCAATCAGAATATGGACATGCTGCAGTCCATGGGGTCACAAAGAGTCAGACATGACTGAGCGACTGTACAACAAATTTCATTTTATCTCCAGGTTGAGTTAAGCATGTCGCCTCCACCTGCCCATAATATCCTGCTCATATCTCTTATAATACACACTACACTGTACTTTTAACTTGCCTTCCTTGCTGGTCTGGGAGGTAGCTTCCACCTTATTTCCCCAGACTTCTCCACCATGGAAAATGGCACTATCGATTTGCCCAGTCACCTCAGCCAGACACCTCAGGAGTCACTGACAATGTCCCTTCCACTCCTACACTTTCACTTCTAAGCTGTCACCAAGTCAACCTGCAAAACACATCTCAAAATGTTCCACTCCCCCCCTTACTGCATTTTCATTCTAGATCAATCTCTCTCCCCTAGTCCACTACACTGCTCCTTCCTAACTGGTCTTCTGTGGCCACTCTTGATCAGTCTAATTCATTCTCCACTCAGCAGCCACACAATTTTAAGCTATGGGTTTTTTTAGTAGTCATGTACACATGTGAGAGTTGGACTATAAAGGAAGCTGAAGGCCGAAGAATTGATGCTTTTGAACTGTGGTGTTGGAGAAGACTCTTGAGAGTCCCTTGGACTGCAAGGAGACCCAACCAGTCCATCCTAAAGGAACTCAGTCCTGAGTATTCATTGGAAGGACTGATGCTGAAACTGAAACCCCAATACTTTGGCCACTTGATGCAAAGAACTGACTCATTGGAAAAAGACCCTGAAGCTAGGAAAGAGTGAAGGCAGGAGGAGAAGGGGACGACAGAGGATGAGATGGCTGGATGGCATCACTGACTCAATGGACATGAGTTTAATCAAGCTCCGGGAGTTGGTGATGAACAGAGAAGCCTGGCGTGCTGCAGTCTATGGGGTCCCAAAGAGTCAGACACAACTGAGCGACCGAACTGAGCCGAACAACCCTGCAATGGCTTCCCACTGCTCTTAGAATCAAAATTTCTTTATATGGCAAAGGATGCCCTTCACGATCTGACTCCTTCAGCTCCAAGCTCATCTCATGCTTCTTTCTCCTCTGCTCCCCCATTTCCCTGCAAGTGGGCTTTGTTTTATTTCTCAAACTTGCTCAGCTTTCTCCTATCACAGGATCTAGGGGACTATTTTATTGCAATTTTGAAGTATGAATCACATGACAATATATTTCTTATCAGAGAAATTGAATACAGTATTGTAGGGTAGCCAACATTCTGTTGGAGGTAAATAATCAAAATTTTCAAATAGTAGGGAGTGGCAACATAAACTATGTCATATTATTCACAGGACTGAACTCTATGAAATCATTAAGATGTTTACAAATGCTATGAATTATTTTAATGACATAAGAAAACTTTAATAATATACAGGAAATTTTAATGATCCTATAGTATGATCTTAGCTTTGTAAGGACAAACTACAGAGAATACAGATTGGAAAGAAGTACATCAAAAAGGTAACAATGGTTATTATCTGCGTATGGTAGATGTATGGATGTAATCTGGGAAAAAAAGTTTTGTTTTTTTTTAAGGAAATTTGTTATTCTCTAGGTTTTGTATTTCTAAATAGAGGTCATGTCAACCCAATGCCCCAGAGGGTATATTCCTTAGGTGCCACAAATGCAGATTTTGGATGGGTTTAACCCACATCCAGGTTTAACTCTGCATGATCTCCCCCCACCCTTTTTTTTAAACCTATATACAACTTTTTAATAGTTGGGGTTTTCTAACTCTAAACCCAGTAGTGGTCCTCCAATATCCCACTGAACAACACACACACACACCAGAGGACAGAATATTCATTTCCACAGTACCTAAAACAGATCCTTGAGCAAGTAAATGTTTAATTTCTTTTAAAAACTGCTTCTATCAAGGCTTTCCTGGTGACTCAGTGGTATAAAGAATCCACCTGCCAATGCAGGAGACATGGGTTTAATCCCTGGTTAGGGGAAGACCAGGATTCCACATGCCTGGGAACAACTAAGCCCAGATGCTACAACTACTAAGCCTGTGCTCTAGAGCCCAGGAGCTGAAACTGCTGAAGCCTTAATGCTCTAGAGCCTGCGTTCTGCAGCAAAAGAAACACTGCAATGAGAAGTCCACGCGCCACAACCAGAGAGCGGCCCCAGCTCATCGCAACCAGAGAAAGTGCAGGCAGCGACGAAGATCCCACACAGCCAAAATAAATAAACAAAATAATTTTAAAAACTGATTCTATCAGGTAGAAAAACAAAAAGGCACATGCTGACCTTCCCCTGCAGAGCCTGCCTGTTTTCTCAGCTGCTAAGATGCTCCATGCCAATGAGTGCCGTCTGATCAACACAGAGAAGCCTGGGCAGGAGTTCTGATCCCAACTTCCCTCAAGGCTTCCCTTTACCCCTCCTATTCATACATCTTCCATGTTCCAAATCCCTTTACTCTGAATTTTTATTTAATCTTCTATTGTAAATATTTAATCAAACATCTGAAATCCCAATCCTACCATGAGAAAAAGTTTTTTCTATTCTTTTAAAAGAGAGGAAGGTAGGATAGACACTACTGATAATATCACAGAACCAGATGCTTGGGATTAAAATAGGAAATCAACATTATAAGTTAAATGATCTTTTATTCCCCAACAGCTCTTTGAGAAGATGAAAATATTGCTTTTTATTTCCATTCCCACATATTTTAAAAAGAGAACTGAATTTTGTTATGCAAGCTTGATATTCTGTGGAACTGGCTTAGTCACTACACAACTTAAAAATACATATAATAACCTGTGAACAAGCACCTTCATTTTTCTTCTTCCTGTTATGATGACCTGATTCTGGAACCATTCAGCAAGGCTCCAAGTCAGAGACTACTGCTTCCCACTGAAGAAAAGAAATTGGAAAAAAAAAAATTGCATATTCTTTCCAGTAAATGGAGGATTTTCCTTTCATTTTCTATGTTTCAAAATGAGAATTGGCCTTAAAGGGCAAATCTTCTCAAAACCAGGAACAACATTTTACAAAAACGCAGACTGTAAGAGCAAACTACATTTTATCAGAATGAGACGAGAGAAAGATGCTTGTGCTCTTTTAACACTAGAGAGCTTTAGCAACCAATAATGGTTTAAAAGTGCCATCAGCTTCATGGGATATTAGAGAGTACTGTTTGGTATCTAACAGCCACTGACCCAGACAGTCAGGGTCGAGAAGATGTTACTAGGACTAAGGCAGTAATCCTTGAGACAGCCAGAAGGGGGGAATGGGCAAAGTGAAGGTGTACAGCCTACGACAGTCTAGCAGAGACCCCTTCAGGCAAGGAGAATGGCAGCAAATCAGAGCTACTCCAGCTGAGTGAGCAGGATGGGGAAGCCAGAGAAGAGACCAGGAAAGCAGTCAGGGGTGTGATGACACAGGGTCTGCAGCCACGGTCCGAATTTTGTTTTTATGATTCTGATGAGAAGCCACCAGAAGGTTCTGAAGAGAGGGGAAAGCCCTGATTAGATATTTCTAAAAATAGCTGCTGTTTGGAGAAACACTGAAGACAAGAGCGAGGGTAGAGGCGGGAAGATGTGATCAGTCTTCACAGTCTTCCGGGTAAAAGAGGATTGCAGTTTGTTTAGAGAGGGCATAACGTATGATCGGATTTGAGCTATCTTTTCAAGGCAGAGTCAACAGTTTGCTGGATGCTTGGATGTGGGGTCTGAGCTGAAAAGAGGAGTCAAATGACAATCCCTAAACTTTCAGCCTCACTGGATGGCAGTAACATTTTCTGTGATCAGGAAGGTAAATGAGAGGAGAACAGGAGGGAGGACTGGGTGGGTGCCTGTCAGTAATTCTTTTTGACACACTAAATTTAAATGCCCATCAGACTTCCAAGTGGAGATGTTAAGCTAGATACTAGATGTTAATCTAGAGCTCAGGAGAGAAGTGAAGCTAGAAAGAAAAATCTGGAAGTCATCAGCTTATAGATGGTATTTATAGTCATGAAACATGGCTTGGGGTAGAAACTGCCTTGGGAGAAATTATGGTTCAAAAGGGAATCTGGCCAAGAACCAAATACGGTAGCAGTCTAACATTTGGTGGCTGAGAAGAGAAGCCTGGAGACATATGAAGAGTGACCAGGGAGGCGGAAGGACATTCAGAAAGTGGTGGTGACCCGACAGCCTAATGAAGGAAAAAGTATCGAGGAAGAGGGAGCAAATAACTGATTCATAGGAAGTGAAAACTCGCACAGATAACTGATTTATCAGGATGTATTTGTTAAATAAGTAAATTTTAAAATATCACAGGGAGCAAATGACTCTACAGATGAGGTGCAAAAGATCCAACACACAGCTGGACAACTGAGGAATATTCACTTCGCTTCAGGAGGAGGTAAGTCATTACTCTGCATCTGCTCATCTGCTTTTTTATTTCAGTGAGTTGCTTAACTCCCATCTGTAACCAACGCATTACTTACGATGTTAAAATGTGCCATATTTTTAAGGATTTTTAAAGCTTACTGCCATGAAAAACTGGATAGGTCCTAACAAACATAATACTGAAAACGAGCTCACTGCTGCCAGCCCTAATTCTTTTCATCCAAATTGGCTTTTGGACAAGGTCCCAAATAAACAAACCAAAACCAAAACTTTCAGCACAGACTCAAGTGTGCCTGGTGGAGGTTCTCACCAGGAGAACTTTTAAGCCTTCTGAAACGCTGGGCTCTNGACCCGCCCCCCGCCCGCGGCCCGGCCCCGCACGAGCGCGGCGCGCGGAAGTCCGGGGGCCGCTGCGTCCCGCCCTCGGAGGCACGCCGCCGCTTAGCCGCTTGCGGGTCCACCCAGCCCGCGTGGAGGCCAGGGGGGTTCACCTGCGCTGCTGCCTCGTTGTTACTGTTGTTTGAAGGCCCGCGAGACCCTCCTCGGAGGCTAGGAGGGAAAAAGGACTCCACTGTCTCTTCCCTGCAGACCTGGATGCTGGGGTGGGAGCTGCAGCGCGGCCTCTGCGCCTACACAGCGCGCCCAAACACTGAGCCTGCAGCAAGCCCCGGGCTCCCAACAGAAGCCTCTAGACTCTAAAGGAAGGAGACAGCCAGTCTCATCCAAACTAAGACCCGCCTCGAGGTACAGCGACCCTCCAGTTTCTCCAGGTTTGTCCCCTGACTTTTCCTCTCTTTGGGGTTCTCCAACTGACTACGGCTGCAATCAACCACATCCCTGCTTAGACGGTGGCTCATCAGTAACCAGTCCCCGCCCCCCAAACGCACACATGCCCGGCCAAAAGCCACCTTGAGAAAGATCCCTTTCTCAGATTCTGTATCGCAGCCGAAACGGGCTGAAACGCCACTGAATGTTTAGAAAGAACAAAAAAGCAACCAAGTAATCTAAGACGATGAAAAGCCAAATACGTAATCCTGCCATCTCTCAGGCTTCCAATCCTAATCATACCCAAAGACCCCAATTCAGAAATCACATACACCAGCACCACCACCCCACCTCTCCTACCCTGCGTGTGTGGGCCCTTTTCAGGCAATCCCTACTCACTGCTGTAGGAGAAGCACTCCATTAGGAAACCTCAGAGAAGACAATGAATAGTAAACTGGAATTGAAGGCCCACACCTGGATCTCCGGAGCTTCCCTGGCGGCTCAGCTGGTAAAGAATCCACCTGCAATTCAGGAGACCCAGGTTCCATCCCTGGGTTAGAAAGATCCCCTGGAGAAGGGAACCCACCCCAGTATTCTTGCCTGGAGAATCCTATGGACAGAGGAGCACCTCGATCTCAGAGGCTTACTACATAGAGGTAGAGCTAGGTTATTTTCTCTCCCTCTCCCCACTACCTGACATCAGGATGGGCCATCGAAGGTGTCACTGGCAGACTGTTTACTTTGTGAAATGCCCTATTAAGCCTATGTCAACACAATTCATTATCCACTGACAGCTGGTTTTTCCTCCACCCTCTGTTTCAACCTTTCAGGTAAATAGTGGCCTCCCTTTTCCTAACCGTGGTAGTTTTGTTGCCTTCATTATCTCTGGCAGTCTCCCTTTGGCAACTGACAAGCTTGACCACTGTCTCCTCCAGATACTCAATTTCGTTGATATTAACAACCCAGGGAGCCTTCATGCTCATCCAACTTGTTAAAATTCTTTGTTTTTTTTTTCTGCCTGTTCCTCTTCCTCTGGCAGCCCTTCAAATCACTGCTTTCCAAACCTTTTCATTGAAATACCATTAATGACAAAGGTGATAAACATTTACTTCCCCATTCATCACCCACATTACACGCATAAATGAACCTAAAGTGACTCATGTCAAGGACAAATTGACTTGAATTGTCTCATTTTAGGTTTTAAGTTGCTCCAAATTTTGCATTGTTCTTCATATTCACATGCTGTACTAAAATTTCAAATTGGTTACAAGTTTTCTTCTCAAATTATCCAGTACACATTTTAAGAAAATGCACCTATCACTTATGCCACAGGTATGAATATTTAGTGTCTTCCATGTGCTAGGCACTAGGGATACAATGTGACTAAGATAGAGGCTGTGCCAGTCCTCATGGAGCTTTTGCAGTCTAGAGCAGGACACAGACAAGGGGCGCTGTTTACAATTTCTGATCTACTCACTGAAAAGAATGAATGGAAGAAAGCAGAGTAAAGTGGGGAGGAGTGCTAATTAAGTCAGTAAGGAGATGGCTTCTCTGACACATAGGATGTCTTTCCTGTGGCTTCACATCCCTGAAACCCTTGACATTCCTTGCTGGTGTTTTCAGGGTGTTTATCTACTGTCCTCTTTCGCTTATTCTACCATTTCTCTGGATATCTTACATATGTCCAGCAGACTCACCTCAGTCAGTAAGGGCATAAGTACACGATTAATGAACTTGACCTCATTGACATATAGATTGTGGCACTTGATGCAATTTCAGAATATTCTTTTCAGATACATACAGAACATTAACAAAAATCAGATATTTTTGGCCACTGAGGAAGTCTACACAAAGCAAAATCAAAACAAAAGACTGAAATAAAATGAATATCTACACTAACCACTAATCTGGAAAACAAAAGCAAAAAGAAAAACAAGAAAAGCTCCTGTATGTTTGGAAACTAAAAGGCAGACTCCAAAATATACCATGGATCAAAACATCACAATGTGAACCATCAAATATTTTCATTTGAATATTATCAAAAATACTAAATATCAAAACTTGTGGGATACAGCTAAAATAGGAACTTCTGTTCCTAAACACACATGTCAGAAGACAAAGCAGGGAGTCACTTATCTGAACAACCATGTCAGGCAATCAGGGAGCAAACCGTTCTCTTTCCACCGTCTTGGGCCCTGTTGGGAACAGGACTTTTAAAACGACAAATGTCTGGCAGGCTGTGGTCCAAGGCCATCTTTGCTGGCTATAAGCAGGGTCTATGGAGCCAGAGGGAACACACAACTCTCTTGAAAACTGAAGGTGTATATGCTCGAAATGAACAGGCAAGAGATGTGCTTATGTGTACAAAGCAAAGAATAGCAAAATCAAAACAAAAGACTGAAATAAAATGAATATCTACACTAACCACTAATCTGGAAAACAAAAGCAAAAAGAAAAACAAGAAAAGCTCCTGTATGTTTGGAAACTAAAAGGCAGACTCAAAAATATACCATGGATCAAAACATCACAATGTGAACCATCAAATATTTTCATTTGAATATTATTAAAAATACTAAATATCGAAACTTGCGGGATACAGCTAAAATAGGAACTTCTGTTCCTAAACACACGTCAGAAGACAAAGCAGGGAGTCACTTATCTGAACAACCATGTCAGGCAATCAGGGAGCAAACTGTTCTCTTTCCACCGTCTTGGGCCCTGTTGGGAACAGGACTTTTAAAATGACATATGTCTGGCAGGCTGTGGTCCAAGGCCATCTTTGCTGGCTATAAGCAGGGTCTATGGAGCCAGAGGGAACACACAACTCTCTTGAAAACTGAAGGTGTATATGCTCGAAATGAACAGGCAAGAGATGTGCTTATGTGTACAAAGCAAAGAATGTACACAGTGATGCCTGGAGGAAAACCTAATAAAACCAGAGTAATCTGGGAAAGATAGCTCACGCTCATGGAAACAGTGACATGGCTTGTGCCAAAATCCGAAGCAACCTTCTTACAAAGGCCGTTGGACACAGAATCTGTGTGATGCCGTACTCTTCAAGGCTTTAAACTTATTGAAAAGTAAATCAATAAAAGTGTGGTTAAAAATACATCAGGGAAGAAAAAAGCCCAGGGAATGAAATCCAAATAAAAAGACAGAAAAAACAAAAATAAGGCCAGAAATTAAAGAAACAGGAAAAAATAACAGAGGACCAACAAGAGCAAAATGTGGTTCTTTGAAAAAGATTAGTAAAATTAATAAACCACTGGTAAAACTAAGTAGGAAAGAAACAAAAGATACAAATAACAGTATTAGAAATAAAAGGCAGACTAATAATAAAAGGAAATATCACCACGGGTCCTAAGACATTTAAAATGTGAAAGATATTAACAACTTTGTTCCTATCAACTAGGTGAAATAAACTAGGAGAGTTGTCCATTCGTCTCTTATGTTCCTGTCTGTCTTAATGAGTACATGCAAGATCCTGGCTACCATTTACCTGAGCCATCTCTCAGGGCAGCATTCCCAGTGGGCAGCCATGAGATATGAGGTGCAGTCGCCCTCCACAGAGAACAAGCAAGCTTACTACTTGCTCTAAGAGTGGTGGATTCCTTAAGCTCAGTGTTCCTCAGATGTGCCACAGATCCACTGCATGTTTAGGATCGACTTGGGCCTCATGCCACTCCCAGGGGACTTCTAAGCAAGAGGGATCACTGCAAATATGCTGAAAATAGTGCTGCTTGCTGTGTCATGAGCAACAAAACATTTTTTCTGATCCAGTTTTGCGTCTTCTGCCAGAATCCATCAAACAGGAACAGGCATTGTATGTGGGGTAACATCAAATCCCAGACCTGACAAAATGGACAGGAGGGACTCCAGTGATTCCGAAGATTCCATCAGATTCTCTCCCCACAAAACAAATGTAAACTGGACAAAACAGTCAAAAACTATCACTCGAGGGCTCTGGAAATTGACTGGACACAAACAAGTTGATAATCATTTATTCACTTTGAAAAATCCTGCTCAATTCTGGGTTGGAATCTGTGCATTCTTGCCAGGAACTAACGGTTCTCATCTCCCAACCCTTGTACACACCTCAGCTTTGTTGGGGCAACAGCGCTACCACTGTGAGGCCAACAATGAAAGCCAGGAGCCCAAATACTGCTCTCAGTCAAGTCCACACCTGGTGTGCTGTCATAGAAACTGCGAACTTGGGAGGACATAAATGGGGAAAGCTCATAGCTCTTAGCCTGAGGTCGTGACTCATGTGAGGTGCACGACAGACCTGTGGACTAGCCAAAAATCTACTAGGAGATTCTGGAGATGAGTGAGCCCACTGAAGGTCAAGGTCAGCTCATGACTTACCTTTGCGTGACTGGGAGATTACATGTACACAGGGAGAAACACGCCTGCCCCTGCAGATATCTGCGTTTGAACCCTGGTTCTGGCACTAACTGTGTGACCTTTGGCAAATCAGTTTAATCATTCTGTGTGTCAGTTTCTTAATCTGTG